AACTGACACTTCATGTAGATCACGTGTATTATCGACTGGATCTAGGGTCCTACTACCTGGATCTAGCGATGTCTTGTTCACAAATGCATAAATGCAATACCTAGAACGCTCGGCTCGTACCGGATTCAACACCGGCGAGCGTCCTAGTTTAACATCTTCTCGGCCACTTCTGGCAACATCCCTCTGTGTTTGGCTGGATCAAACCATTGGCGGATCTGGTTGTAGAATTCTTCCATCGGACACTTGCCGACGTCGTGAATCTCGCCACACCCGCGACACACGTAGAAGCAATGATCTCCGGGATGACCTTTCTTGCCACACTTCTCACAGACCAGATGTTTCCAGTATCCAGATTCAGTGTGCTTCCGGGATCCGCACTGCGAACACCTGACTTGTGCTGTCCCGTCCATGAGATCTCGGGATCTGTACATCCCACGGTCCCCGGGTACGGTATCCTTCGGTCGAGAGTTTACTCCGGTCTTCGCCGTTCGATCGTTGGGCGCAGTGAGACAGACTCGGCGGTAATCTTCAGGGTCGGAGTCCGAACCGTCGGATCCCCATTCAGTTCCTGAGTCGGGCGCCGTGACTTGGTGGACACGTCAAGCTGGGGCCGTAGGCGTCGGAGCCTTTTGGCGATACTTGCCGGATCCGACTGCCGCCTTCTTCTGGCGGAGTTTCGCGCGATCCACGGCCCGCAGCACTTCTTCAAGCTCATCTGCGTCTGGAAGACGTAGCAGGGTCAGCCTGTTGGCCAGATCCACGTCTCCCAACGTCTCGATGAAATGATCCACATGTTCCCGCAGTACCTTGGATCCCCCATCCTTGATCTTCAACTTGGCCCGTAGACCGGCCACATTTAGTCGATGTAGGTATTCCAGCGGGGATTCATCCGATCTGCGGCGAGCATGGTAGTATTGTCGTGCCACCGACACTCCCAATCCACAGTACTGGGTCTGGAAGCTGCGCAGCAAATCCGGCCACTTGTTCCTGGTGGATCTGCCCAGCTGCCGATACCAGTTCCTGGCTGGCCCCGCAAAGGTCAAACACTTCTCAGCATCCGACGCTTGATCTCTCATGAGGGCCGGCTTGACTTTGCTGATCCATGTTCTCGCTCGGTCCTCATCTTGATCCTTGCCCGTGAACTCCTTCAGGTCCGATATGGCTGAGATCCGTACCCTCTGGATCATGGACGATCCTCCTGCCCCGGCTGTGGCTGTTGCTACCACTGCTGACGAAGTGGATGGGCCATCCAGATCATCTGGGTTAAACTCATCATGGGAGTTGTCTCCCTCCACCGACTCCATTTCCACGTCTCGTGCTCCATGTTCGTGGAGCACTTGCACTTGTGGCACGGGCGCTCTCATACCCTGTTCGGCCAGGAAACGACTCATCGCAGCTTCGAAGTGCCGCTGCAGGGTGCCCGAGGAAGTGTCGGAAGAGCCTGTGGCCGTCTGGTCCACTGGCGAGACAGGGTCCGTGAGGCGATTACCTCGAGCCTGATCTGACGATAATCCCACTGGCTTTTTGCCGGATCTGGCTCGATCCTGGATGGATTGTGTCAGATCACGCGTAGGGCCTACTGGATCCCGAGCCTTCATGTTCACAGGGGCTTCCTGACTTCGGACCCTCGCCCGCGCTTCCAGCATGGATGCCCCGGAGGGTCCTAAAGTCATGCGTCGTGGTTCGGACGACGTGTCTGACTCATCCTCAGCGGCGGATTTGTAGTTCGAGGACGCAGCTTGGCTGATCCTCGGCGATGACACTAGATCCATAGTGCGCGACCTTTCTCCGGTGATGGACTTAACTCTGGCAAAGAGGTCCTGCGTCGCGGATGCTATGAGATCCAGATCTAGCTCGAAGATATCCTCTGCGTCGAACACACCAGCTACGATGCCTGACTCCGTAAGCAAACGTAATAGATCCTTGACTGCCACCAACTTGTTCGCCGTTTTCGTTGGTGCTCTCACCGGTTCCCTTGGATCTTCGATCTGTCGTGGATTCAGGATCTGCATGACAGGATCTTGATGCAGGAAGTCGCGTAAAGCTTGGTGGCGATACACAAACTCGAGATCCTTGTCGGACCAGCTTGACCTGGATCCAGCTTGGTCTTCTTCCGACTCTGGAGCTTGCATCTTCTTCCGCGTAGTCTTACTCATCTTCGTCTTCTTTCTCGTTTCTTCGACTAGCGGGTTTGGGTTTGGGTACGATGTTGGCTTAACCGGTGAATCTGCAAATGCATACCGTTTCGCCTTCACTTTCCCTTGTTTTGTTAGCGGATCGTGACTTGCGTCAGGATCCGCAGGGGACCCCGAGGGGACCTGGGGAGGATAGAGAGGTTTCTCTTCTAGATCCGGATCCACCTCTCTTCCGTCGACAGAGTTCCTCCCAAAACTCCATCGATCCGCGGATCTTGTTTCATTCAGCAGCGTCTTCGTCGATCCGACCTCCGACGACGCCTCTTCCCCTGGCTCAATCTTCACTTGAGCATCTTCTTGGGACTCACGGTGAAATCCCGAGTCACCAAAAGATCCGGGCACGCGCACCATTGTGGTGTAGCGGGATCAGCAAAATCTGCGAGATTGCCAGATCCAACTTACCAACTGCGCCCAGACACCGACTAACGGAGGGGGTCCCCCGATGATCCGTGTTCTGCTGAACTTTCCTCACCTTGTGTACTCGTCGGTAGGGCGGGATCTTGCTCTCTCGGTAGCTTCCGAAGAGTTCAAGTGGTGAAGCTTGAGTGTCTTGGCGAGACGTGGGGATGGGGTGGAGCAGCAGTGGAAAATCTTCACTCTGCGTCCGTGGATTGTTCCGAATCCTAAGCGAATATTCGAGCTTATGGATCCGGGGCCTAGATCGTGGATCTGACCGTAGGGTTGCCTTGCGGGTGTGTCCCTTGCCTTTGCGTTCCTTTGCGTCGTACTTTCCGCCTCCTGTGACGGGGTCTTGAGAGTTGAGAGCCTCTAGGGTATAACCGACCAAGTAGTAAATTCGGTTAACCCGTCGGATCTGCACGTGTATGGGAAAGCTTACTAGGTTGTAGGATCTGGCCAATGTATTATCCAGTTATCACTACCAACACTAGATTCGCGATTCCCAACCTTCTCCGAGCTCGTACAGCCAATGTAGTTCCGGTTCTTGAGGGCAGGAAGGCACTTGCGTGTTATGGTGCAAATGAGGTTCTTTATTTATTGAGCTAGTCCCTAGGGTCGAAGTATACACGAAACTTGTCCGGGCCAATACTCATCTCCGCTACGAATGTTCTGCAAGGCCAAATCCAATCCCGTCAAAGCGCTATACGTAGTTG